CGCTACGACGTATGTTTATGAGCACAAGAGGAACATTTTAAGCGCCTCCTCTGGACCGGTAAGTTTGTCTTAAAGATTGTTTTGTTTTCTTGTACCTCATTGCTGTTGTCTGATGTTTGTTGTTATTTAATTCTTGGTAATATTTTTGTGATTCCCTTAGTCTTGTTTATATACACGGTTTTTATGCGAAAAATGTGTAAGCTTATAGTACCTATGTTCCTTTAATACAATACTGCATAAAATGTTTCCTGCACTATGATATGAACTTTCAACTGAGAGAGTATATAGTGTCCTCCGCAAAGAAAACGTTTAGCAACATTCGTTCAGACTCGGGTTATGTTAATGGAATTTATGGACATAAATGGATAGCTTCCCCGATTTTTAGCCATTGTAGAAATATTGTCTTGAAAATTGTGCATTTATCTTCCAACATTTCAGTGATGTTGGCAACGTTTTCATCTATTTACTAGTATGACTGCCTGAAATTTACAAGGTTTAGTATTATTAAGATATTTTCATTTTAGCCTCATCTTTATTATTATTATTATTTTTGGTGACAAGGGGACATTTAACCACCAGACAGTATCAGGTGATCTGAATTTGAAGCGTGTAGTGGTCAAACCACTCAAATGCCAATATTGACATTTGCGATCGTTTTAAAGATATATATATTTATTTATTTATTTATTTATACACCAATAAGATAATTTTCACGAGTTCTATATTATATTGTCTTTTCGTTTTTTTAGTAAAAATACTATAAAGTATTTTACTTCTAGGACTGGTATATAACTGTACACACGTACATTTTGATTATACTCCAAATTTGTTTTGTTGATAGCCTAATTAACTGTAACAGTTAAAAATTTACTTCCCCCCATTGGCTCCTGCTTGACTCCTGATAACTTACGATTTCGAACTCAATTGATCTGGCAATGAGGACTGATAAGAGAGATGAAGCAAGTAACTATGAAGTAATTTCAAATGTTTTAGTGATAAAAATGTAACTACTAAGCATTTTGAACCAAAATACAGACATGCATGTTACCTAAATATGAGCATATGTCATAATTCTTGTCAAATGAAAACTTCCCTGCTATGACACAGGGTGCTATTTACAGGAAAATTCAAAAAGCAGGGCCCCCCCCCCCCAATATGTTTTTATTTACTGTCAGCGTTGCGCTGATAAGGGCTGAGTAGTTCTCTGCCGGGATCAGATGGGGCTATATAAATACGACTTCCGACAGATCAGCTTCGGTAAGAAAATCTGTAATTTAACCAGTTACTAAATATGAATTATTGGCACTGACTGTATAAATTTTGTATCAAAATACGTATTAATAATCAATTTTGAATAAGACATTTATTGGGGTTCTCAAGATATTAAGGTACACCCTAAAAGTAGTCTACAGAAATAATTCTGTTTTCTCTCTGAAATGTCACGTTGACTGTGCTCCAAACTGAGATTGTGTTGAATGGCCCCCTTGGTAACCATATCTCACATCCCACAGCTCTGTTTTTAAGGGACCGTTTTAATGCATTTCTCTACAATAATCATAGAAGACTTATTTAAGTACTGAAACAAATACTATAAGCAGGTCAGTCCTTATAATTTTCAACTCCTTTAAAGCAATCGATGGCAATTTTGAAACATCAACAACGTATATTATATTATGAACATCAAGTGTGGACAGATGTGTTATAATACTGAATACACATTTTTCAAATGTGTCACACGTGACAGAACATAAGTTACGATTGTTGGAGTAAAATTAATTATTAAAAAATATTTTAACGCTATAGATATTACACTGCGCAGATTATAAATTCTGATGTTAACAAAGCTGATGAACATACGTACATCACACAACATAAACAATTTTCCTTATATTGATTATTAAATATACGCCAGACTCAAAAATATCAGCATGAATCATAGATATTGTTGCTCCATAAATGTTCTATTGTTTTACAGGAATACCCGTGTTTAAAAAAAGGTTAGATTTGGATTTGATGTAAAAATGGGTTATGTTGCATCGAGGCAACTAAAATAATTTGCGTATGAACTTCAGTATAGAATTCGAGCACGAAATATTGTTGAAATCCGTTTAACAGTTCGAATAATACGTTACTAAATAGAAGTATAAATAAATGAGATGTAAGACTTACCGTGTGAAAGCAGTGGTGTTTGTAGAAGACCTGACAGCTTGCAAAGATCTGCAATTTTTCTAGCAACCAAGACGGGAAATGAGTTATCAGTATTTGTAGCCAACACACGTTATCAGTTTGGAAGCCAGAAAAATAAATATTGTTATCGCGTTATTTTTTCAAGTCAGATAATGTGAAACAAACACGTATCAATGTCAGCGCTAGTCTTTTGAAGGAAGATTTTGGTAAGAATGATAGATAACCTGCAAAAAAGTGTCAATCAACTTACAATAGAAGTTAAGTAGATAAATTCTACGGTGATATGGTTCAGTTATTTTAAAATGCAAAACCTAGCGTGTTAAGAACATGCTCATATTTCAGTCTTGATAATAATTCTCTCGAAGGCTATAGGCTATATGAAATATAATATCACCCTTAAAATACTTGTTTCTGTATTCCTAGTCAGGGCAATGATGGTGTAGGCCTATTGTCAGACTCTGTTAATTAAACGTACTTACTGGGTGTATATTTTAAAGTTTGTGACCGCTTCTTACTTAACTTGAAGGTTCGTTGCCGTGTTCAGTAAGGCCAGTCCCTGCACCCCATGTTATATCAGTTGAATTTAGTTGACATCGTCTTACCCTGGCCCCTCAAAATTATTTTAATATTATAATCTCATCATAATTTATTCCTTTGACCAAATATTATTAAGACAGTAAATCAAAGGGAATTAAATGTTTGGGGTATATAGCACGCATGTTTTCTTAGAATTACTTTTCTTATTTAAGGTTGATTTATTGATATTTTAATAATGAAGAGATATTCATATAAGTTGAAGCGATGGTGGTGAAACAGTCTGTGTAGCCTCAAGTAATGTGCTTAAGCGTATTCACAATCCAATTGAAAAGCTTCTCCTTGTTGTAGGAAATTCTAAATAGAAAACTTATCGGACAAACACACCGATAAGAGTCTTACTATGAAGTGTTTTCGCAGAACTACATTTTATTTGACGTAATTACATTTCTGGGTATTTCAGTTTCAGTTAGTATTTTTTCCAGCATTGCTTTGCCAACTAAATAATACGTTTCTCGGAATTACATAAGTATCAACTGCACTGCCCCATTTTACTGGAGTTTTCTGAAATATCTATCAAATATCTTAGCAGTAATTGAGCTGTTAAATTGGATTACTTACTAATTATCTCAAATAAACCCACGCGCTGTTCCGAAACGTGGAAAAAAGTATTACACAGTCCAAAAATCAAGAAGACTAGCATCTAGATTCACATCACTGCAAAAACATCGAATCATACAACATATTGTCTAATTTCAATTTTTTGGACTTTTTCAATCGTCATGTTTCCCCAAAGAAACCTACATTTCGGGAGATTGCATAATGACGACTGGAAAAGTCCAAAAAATTGAAATCAGTGAATCAACGTCATCGTCAATAACACTTAGAAACATATTGTCTGTTCGATTTATCTTTTTTTCAAAAAAACAAAATTGTCAGTGGAACCACGGTTCCGGAGAATTTGACGTAAATACGTCTATACGGAAAGGAAGTTTATATATTGGCTTTATTCTAAATATTTCCTTTATACATGCTTTACAATTG